AAAGTCGATAAAGTTGAGGTAGAAAGTTGACTGCCATTCTATGCTCTGTTCTATAATGATGCGTTTCTCTTCTTTCGTAATTAAATTTCCTTCTTCATCTTTTATTGGTTTCATCTGTGTTGGTCTCTTCCCTGATAGCAACCTGGTTATTGGATACAATGTCGTCAGGTCTCTATCTCTCCTACCTGCAGCCTGTTCTGCTTCACTTGCCAGTGTTTCGTAGAAGTGTCTTTTGTCTTTCCGTGCACTCTTTTTCACTTCTTTGTTCAGTGTTTTATACATTGTGCTCAGTTCCTCTTGTCGTTGTTCACCCCAGCACTGAGCTGCTTTATCTTCTGCTTCACCATCCTCCTCTCCTCTGTCAGCTTCCATGTATCCATTGAGGTCCATTCCTTATCTTCTTTCTTCTTCCTTCTTAATACGGCTGTGCAGGTTTCTTTCCACATAGCTTTCAAAGACTTCCAGTGTTCTTCCACATAGGTTTCTTCAGGGATGTTCCTCGATATCTCCCATTTTGTCTTGATGGTTGACTGGCGTGAAGATCTCCTTTGTAGTTTCATCCTTCAGTTTCCGAGTGTTGTACTTGAACTGCGGTCTATCACCAGCTTCCTTGAAGACTTTCAACTTGATTTGGAAGGTTTCCTGTACTAGACAGTGAGTGGTGTGAGCCTACATCTGCTCCTCTTCTTGAACTTGTGTCAAGTAGACTGCGTCTCCATTTTCTTGAGATTGAGATAAAGTCGATCTGATTTTAAGTGTGTCCATCTGATCAAATCCATATCGCTTTGTGGATATCCTTGTGCTTGAACACACTGCCTGACTCCAATCACCAAATCGTTGAATGCACAGAATTCTGCACACAATTCTCCATTCTCGTTCATCACCTCACCGAGCGCTTCTCGGCCTATGGGTTTGTTCTCTTCCCGTGTTGTCGCTCCCAGCTTGGCATTCATGTCACCCCACCCATTAGAATTTTGATATCGCCAACTGACGTCTTGTCCAGTGTTGATTGCAGTTGTCTGTAGAATTCCCCCTTTTTCTCTTGCACTGCATTATTTGTAGGTGCATAGCACTGTATGATTGTGACCTTCCTTCCTTTTGAGTTGAATCTTGCTGTCATGATCCTGGAGGAAATTGGTTCCCACTGCATGAGAGCCTTCGATGCTCTTGAGGACATCATGATAGCCACTCCATAACTCAGTGTGCTCGTGGTTGTCGTCTAGGTGACCGGAGTAGATTATTGATTCTCCAGTTGACAGTTTGGAGAGTCCACTCCCATTCCATCTGCTTTCACAAATCCCAAGCACTTCGATGTTATACCTTCTCATCTCCTTTGCAATCTGGGCTGCCTTACTGGGTTCAAACATCGTACGGACATTCCATGTCCCCACGTTTACTTTCGCTTTCATCGAGAGAAGACACATCGGCCAATTGGCTTCCCGAAGGCTTTCACCAACTGGCGTCATTTCGCCTCTCCGATTCCAGCGAGGAATAAGTTTGTTATTATTTTTTTATATTTCGTTTGTGCTTTGAAGTTTCTTTAGGGGTTAGATTTGTTTTACGGGGTGGGGTTGCTAGCCCTATGCCAAACCTTCCCTCTTTACCCGGGCTTAGGACTGGCTGGTAACTAGTGAACTAGTTAACCAGGCGAGGTTCAACTATACAATAGGGTGCGAAAAATTCACTATATTTACGTCGAATATATTTAGGTGGAGAGAGAGAGATTAATTACTGGATCCTGGTTCAGGAATGACAGAACACGTATACCAGAGATATGGGAAACTTTATTACCAACAAAACAAAAAATATGAGGTGACAGGACTCAAAAAATCAGATGTCGAAAGGAGTGTGATTACATTGATATGATTGTGAGCAATAATTTATGCTCGAGACGTCATCAAGTAAATAAAACTATCACTTCGAGCTATTTATTAAATTAAAAAATCTAATATGGAATCGCAACCTACCACAGTGCTCAAGTTTACACTTACATAAATGAAAAGTCATCTAGATTAAAATCCATCTCGTTCGACTGAAAAGTATCACTCGATGACTCGTGTATAATGTCACAAACTTGAAGATCTACAGGCGAAAACTAACAAGTTGGCAGAAGAGGCTGGGCAGCAAAGACGGGACTTCAAGTGAATATAGAGAAGATAGAGGTGATGAAGATATCCAACTAACGCAACCACCAACAACAACAAACTCCAATCAGGATGAACAGGAGAAACTTAAAGGAAGTAACCTCCTTCACCTATGTAGGCAGCACTGTTACAACTACAGGCGGCACAGACGAGGACGTCAAAGCCAGAATCGGAAAAGCAAGACAGGCGTTCATTAGCCTGAAACCAGTGTGGAGATCTGCACTCAGCATGTGGAACAAGATCCGGATTTTCAACACCAACGTTAAGTCAGCGCTTCTGTATGGCTCAGAGACTTGGCGCGTTGCGAAAGGGATTTCCAATAAACTACAGACATTCATCAACAACTGCTTACGCTCGCTACTGAAGATCAGATGGTCAGAAGGAATAAGCAACAATGAACTCTGGGAACGAACCAACCAAGAACCTATCGCTGAAAAATATGCAGAAGGAAATGGAGATGGATTGGGCATGCACTGAGAAGACCGACTGGGGGCATCACGTGCTAGGCGCTCGAGTGGAATTCAAAGGTGAAACGACGAGTTGGCATCCGAGGGTGACATGGAGGAGATCGTGCGAGGAGGAAATGAGAGCTTGTGGGCTGTCATGGAGGCAGGTTCAAAATATTTCAGAGAACAGAGTTAACTGGAGACGTGCTACTGAAGCCCTATGTTCCATTAGGAACCCAAGGGACAAATAATAATAATAATAATAATAATAATAATAATAATAATAATAATAATAATAATACACTCATTATACATAAAGTACACCTTGAAACTGCGAAATATAGCCTGGAAAAAAGCATTTGTAAGAACGAAGAGTATTACACTTTTTGAAGTCATGAAACGTGATTGTCAACTGCTGCATTATAGGTTAGGCACATCTCATGGTCATTTGAGTATGGGACAAATTTATACAACAGTTACTAGCCCAACATTTATGTCTGATTGTTCACTCATATTTTTATATAGGTAAATCAATGCGCATTAGAAATGAAAAATCTTACGAAACATTCGACGGTTAACGGATAATGGTCTGATTTTTTTCTACTCTATTTTGTGTGAGAACGTATTCATGGGAAAATCCTAATAAAAAGTTGAAACGGATGTTCTTTAGAGGTGAGAAAGACATTTCGGAGCTATCCCAATGCCTTGAATAGTAAGATTTGCGATCAGCATGATTGGATTTGAATTGCATTATTGGAAATTCTAGGTAGTGGGTTTCATTCTTAAACAAAATAATGTTAACATATCAGAGAATTTTAACTATCCCCTTACAGGGAATCGCCACAAAATGATTTAGCATATGACTGGTCATGTGATTGTTGTCACCAGTCACCTAGACATATCTGCAATCTAGAGGGAGTCAATACCCCATGATGGAACCAAGATCACATAATCCAATGCTACAATCAAATACTGAGTTCATGTACGACTGGATAATATACACTGACTTGTCACTAGTGCTAAAAGTTATTCACAGCTCGAACAATTTCGATTTAGTCCCTAGGTGGTATCATTGAGTTATGCAAGCTCAGATCCATGAAGAGAGATAAGTTGTAAATACACCTTGCTGACAAGTGCCAAGAAACACGAAAATTAGGTCAATAACTATTTGGTAATTGCCTCCAACCATGATAGCGAGTCTCCCAGCTTGGTGACCAAATTACGGTGTTTTCGATAGAATTCAATTAGTACCTGGAACAGAACACGGCATTTTTGATCATAGTTAACATAAAAGCTGAAGGACTCTTTTTGCTTTTGTACTAATGAAAAGCCAGTCAGTCATTATCAGAAACAGACCTTGATATTACTGTGTAACGATCCAGCATGTCACACCTCATCTCACTATATTAAGCAAGGATGCACCCAGATAAAAGACAAATAAATAATGAAGAAAGCAGCCAAAAGTAGTTGGAAGTCATAAAAAGAGAATAAGGAGTAGTGAGATAATGATAAAATTCAGTAAGATGATTAAACTGAAGATAATGTATGGATGCATTTGGGCCTTTGAATTAGACTCCAAGCCATATCACCTAGAGTATCCAACCACCAGTTTCTGTTGTCATGCATACCCCAACCAAGAAGTCTACATTTCTCTACAAGGTTCAGATAAACAGTTAGAAGCTTCATTAACTATTTCATATTTTAGTCCGGCTGCCTCGAACCTTTTCCCAGCCTGAACCTTATTCAGCTAAATTGGAGGACAAGGCGAATAGTGACTAGATATCGTTAATACACGTCCCAAACACCCAGGTCTATGACGGTTCACAACCCCTCCCTAAAACTCTACGCCTGGCTTCTATGTTACTCACTTGGGGACACCACGATACACAGCTTATGCTGCGAAGACGACAATGGTTGGATACCCGAAGTCTTCCCAAGTCTTCTACCCTTATTAACTGTTTCACACCCACAAAATAGGGCAGAATGAACTGAAGCGCAGCACGTTCGACCCAGAATAAGCAATGGGATATCACGACGATGTCATAAGTGGTGTAGGTTGGCGAAAGCCAAATGAGGCTTTCGTACTCGTGCAGACATTTCGTCAGTCACTGACTCACAGATCTGACCCAACTTCCCAAGCAAGTTAAGTGGTGAAATAACAAGTCATTAACTCTTCCATATAAAATTCTTCCATTTTCATAACGACTAGGTCCAAACAAAATGAAACAGCCAAAGTGTATACCTTCACGAAGCAAAACTATTTGTCAGCTTGACGTGGATAATGAGAAGAAACAACAATCTGCTATAAAATTGTGCATTTCTAAAAAAAATTCGTAACTGAAATGTTAAAAACAACATGGCAAGTGGACGATTTTATTATTCCTCCACTGTTTCGTTAATCTCTACTCACCACGTCCATCCATGGGATGTTAAAAAGGAACATACACGTTCGTAATGTGGGATGATAAAACCAATATCGGTAGCATTCAACAGTTGAACAGAAAGAATACGTTGCAATATACAACCATTCGGCAGCGGCCAATTTCTTCGTGAGTTATTACGGGATACTGTTGATGCTAAGTTAGATTCCTTTCCAACTATACATCGAACGGAAAAAATGAACAACATCGAAAACCGGTTACAGGTGGCGAAACACAAATTGAATACTACTCTACAGAACAACAAAATATGGTGAGAAAAGTGAGAGGTTTAAGGGGTCTACAAAAATTAATTACTAGTGGATCGTTTTAAAAGCTTATAAAGAAGACTTATGCATGGAAGATGACGGTCAGAGAGAGCTTCTTCAACGAGACAAGTTGGTGATAAGCGTCTAGAGCCAGGAAAGAAAACAATGTTTGTTTTGAAGAGAAGTTCGACCAATATTGGACTATTCTGCAGTGGTTTATGGACTGTTGTGATTGGAAACCGATAACTGTATTCAAGCATTCATCGAAGATCAGCAAAATGTGACTAAAGTAATTCTAACCCATCATACGTGGCTGAAGGCAGATGACTTGAAATATTTCTGTAACAAATGCATAACTATTTTAGCAGTTAACTTCTGAAATGAATTGACACAAACCAATATGAGTAACGAGAAGTGTTTAGCTATGAATAATCAGCATAGCACTACAATGCAGTATTGATGGTACATTGCACTACATAATGAAACATTTTGTTCGATAAGCAACCAAAACGAAGGAATGCTTATCCGAATTGACAGAGGTGAATGTGAGTGGGACACATATAACATCGCTAGGTGTGTCGTCACTATTCACTGATGTACTGCTCACTGAGACAGTTGATCTCGTATGTCAACAAGTGATGAAGAAGCAAATCAACATTGGGATTCCTGAGTTTAATCTACCAGAAACTACTTCTCAGGTACAAAATGAATGTACATTTTGTTTTCAATAATGCATATATTAGACAAGCGGATTGAATCGCTATGCGCTCACCATTAGACTCACTCCTTGCAGACTTATTTCTAGATAATCGACCTTTGAAGGACGTTGTAAACAAGCTAGATAAGTATAGCCAATACGTGGATGTCACATTCGTCATCAGTGATCAAGAATATAGATAAAAACGATCTAATGAGGAATTTTAACAACATACACTCTTCCCTTCACTAGTGAAGAATACGACAAGAAGCTAAACTTCCTTGACGCCTTATTGAACAGACGAGAAGATGGCTCACTTTACAGTAGCTAGTCTGATTGTCAATGCACACAGTTCCTTAATTCCATACCTGTATGGTACAAAAAAACCTAGCAAACATTTTGATGGTCAGAGGAAGAAAATTTCACACAAACAAGACTCTATGCAGTGATTTAAAGTACAATTAAAATTCATTGACTGATATAAGTTATCCTCGTAATTTTATTAAAAAGCATATGAATAGATTGGGTAGAGAACTTGAGGCAGGAACTTTTCGAAAGAAACCATTATTCACAAAGCTATAATTTAATGAAGATATACTTAGTGAAACTGTATTCCACAGACTATCTAGGACCATTAAAAGAACTTTTTATACAACTAATCACTGTTTATCGTTTTCTAGCCGATGAATTGCTTCGTGTCAAATGAAGGACAAGAAACCGAGTTTTGCCACTTTTATGTGTATTTACCAATTTAATTACTCTTGTTGAGACATTTGTATTGGGCGTACGACTAAGGAACTTAACCAATGTATTACCGAACATCTACCTTCGTGGCTGGGAAAAGTACAGGTTAAATTTATAAGCTCCGTTTTGTAGCATTCAGCTGATATTGGTCACAGAATGATTCAAACGAGTGTCCTAAGTGATTTACTGCATCCTACAGAACCTTTCCGATACAGTTTGAACTCAATTTTGCATATAGCTGAGACCAAAGGAATTCGAATGAACAGTGTGAAGCTCTACATTCAAAACAAATTTGTAAAGCTATTATCTCTCCCCTGGTCACGGAAGACAGGCCTTACCTATAATTTTTTAAAATGCTCTTCTTTCTGTTTCACTTTATTTTATTTTTGTTACCCCTTTCACGACATTACGATATGCACATTTAAGCTTTATTTAACCACTGTCTTCATTCCCTAGTATTACGCAACCTTATCGTTATTTTCAACGCTCTGACCTATTTGATTTGTTTGAACACCTGTTTAAATTGCCATGACATTCTCAACATTCGTATTATCCCTTATACCATCACTATTTTTATCATCCTGAATTGAGTAATCAGCATCCTTGTTATCGTTGACTCACAAATTACTTTGATTGGTTCACATTTTATGTACATGTTGAAAGCTACGTACATTAGAGTAAAGTTTGAGGAGATCTAATTGGAAACTATATTGCTGGCTTACATATTTTGTTATGATATTCAAAAAAAGTCAGTTACTGTCTACTCACCATGAGAGTGTAATGCGCAATGCAAAGAAACAGGCAGGTGGTCAGCTACGTTCAATTGTAAAGGATTCTGAGTAATATCGTCTGTAAAATCGAACTTGTGAAGTAATGCTTCTAGTAAAGTGCCACGTATCAACCGATCTCGATCACCGGCGAACTGGCAAACATCGATGCTGAAACGTAGATAATATGGATTTAAGTATTTGACTTAGCAATAGACAGCACACACTACAAGAAAAGGTTAGAACGAAGTCTTGGACGATCAATACATGCGTTTACGACATTATTACGGAAACACGTCACGTATTAGCGCTATACATCAGATCACAAATGATGTTGTCAAATAATTTGTAAAGGGAATGAGAAAGATCAGTTGAATCGATGGAATTATAGTTAGGAAAGATCACCACCACCGAAAGTATGAGTCCTAGTGGGAAAAACATTCCCCATACCCAGCTGATGAGTCCCAAATGGTAAAAAACGCGCGTCCTGGATTCTGCCGCCAGCCATTACCCATCATTAATAGTATGAAGAGTTGAACTCAATAATAAAAGGGTAGGTTTAGTGTAAGTAAACACTATTTTTGAATACATAAAGAGGGTTTGAATCTATGGTTAACAAGTACTTCAAGTATTCATCCTAGTTCTATTACTCTTTATTATTGTTTCCGTTTTATAAGAAACATGATGGCATATACACTTGGAAACATTGTGTATATTGAAATTGGAACAATCAATCGAAATTTTATTAAAATTCAACCTTATTATTATGATCAGAGTACACAGTGCTCGAAAATAGTCTGAAGGAGAATTATATGACAGCTTAGTCAAATATGATCTGTTCTATTATAATTCTCATTAAGGTAGTACAATATAAGTAAGTGTTGTGTTCCTTCAATTGAGTAATTCAGTTATGAAGCTTTCATTGCCATTTTCGACAACATCATCAACATAAACTTCAGAAAGAAGTGAGCTATGATATTTGCTCTATATATGGCTTAGCAGCTTATTCTGATGACCTCGAATGTGAAAGATTGCTTGTGATCAAGTTTTGTCACTACCTCCATACTTATTTCGGTTGGATGACTACCACTTTGACTTTTTGACTGTTTCTTGTCGGCTGATAAATTGGGTAAAGTCACTGTCTATTGACCTGACTGATATGCTTCTAAAACTTTTCTGGCATTCGTTGTACTTTCTCACTGCAAGAAGTTTCATATTTTCCAAGTCGAGTTCATATCCACAATTGTCGATATATGGAATGGTAAGTAAAAACATATATCATGCCTCCTTATTGCTAGTTTATGTTCATGTAGACAAATAGAAAGAGAACGACTACAGTAAAATATAGCGTTTTTGCAGTTCTTACAATTTATTTTCTCGACAACGTTGAGCTTGCTTTTCTTTGCTAGTGTATTTCTCAGCCTCTATAACAGACAGTGAAGAGATTGTGTACGCTACAGCGATTTCGAAAGGCCTCAGTAATTTAGTTGAAACATTGGAGATGTTCTTCGTGTAAGGTAAGACGATCGGTTTGTTAGTTTCCAGAGATGACTTTTTGATTGATGGTGAACTTTGACAGCCATCTTTTTGAAAGACAGATATTAAACAGTTTTTGTATTTCCTCTGCAGTGCTGATATACTATATTATGCCTTCTCTCTTTTGAACAGTATTTTTAAGCCAATGATTTTGTGTGTAGACAGATTATTGCTACTGTAGTTAGTGATTTGACCCGTATGAGTTAATTTTCTGCAAACTTGAATTCCCACCGTAGTGATCAGAACATCCAAAATGCAAGTTTGCTGCTTGATTTCTCCTTAATTGTGAGTTTGATGTTGAAAAGGTTGTTGATTAGTTTTTGAGTGTTTTAGGGTTAGTTTCTTTCATTGAAGTGCAGGATCTCATTTTCATATTGAATCTAAAGTTTCGGTTTCAGCAAGCGCATGGAGACAATGACAAGATTTTATCACAACACAACAAATCACATCTAAGGTCATCAGGATAAGCTGCTAAGCCATATATAGAGCAAATATCATAGCTCACTTCTTTCTGAAGTTTATGTTGATGTTGTTGAAAATGGCAATGAAAGCTTCATAACCAAACCATCCAACTCAGAGAACAAAACAACCATATACATCCGAGCTACAAATATTTTTCATGATTCCCTTGTGGGTGAGGAGTTATTTTGCTTCTTGAAGAAGGGGATAACTAGAGATCGGAACTGGTCAGAGAGGATAACATTTCATTCCCATGCTGGTTAGCACTTCAATCAACTTAACAAACAATCCACGAACACTGTTATCTGATACCTAAAGTACTAGCCCATCTCGTTTTGCTGCACTTCCTAATTCCAGATAACTTACAGCTTTCTCAACTTCTTCAAGAGTTTTATTAGAGATTCAACCGGATAGCGGGTAGTGGAATAGTAGCTGGAGGCCAGCTGAACTGTTCCTCGAAGTGTTACGTCAACGGTCCCAGTGATCTCTCCTGTAAGTGAATGGCAGAGGCATCTGTCTTTTTGATAGTCAGTCTCACTAACAATTAAAGTTTGTCTCAGCTTCCTCGATTAATCTTAGTAACTGTCTACTTTTATCCATCGCACCTACCTTTACCATTTATTGTCTTTGAAGCTCATCAATAATCATGGTCATTTTAAGACTTTATCAGTCATCATTTTAGGTACTTCTACTTTTCACTGTCTTCAGAGTTTACAAGAATGAGTTCATGTGCATTTATTAGTCCGAAAAAAGCTGCTGGCGTTCACAGATACTTCCTAACATCTTTCTGAACGTCAGTTGGTTCTTCAACGCTGCCTTTTGAACAAACTGGAAATGCTGTCGTGATTCCTCCAGATGATTGACACTGTCCTGTTCTAAAGTCTGTCTAGCTAGTTTGTCTTTGAAAGCTACCTCAGTATTCTTATCATTGAGTTGTACTCGGAATGGTCTTGTTGCAGTAGTTTTTCCATATCCTATTAGTCGTACACATATACACGCTCGAATCAACACGTGATCACTGTCCAGTTACTTCAGGAAGAGCGACAATAGTCCACCGACCCTTCAGTGACAACTGGTAACAATATGGTCCATTTGTGTCCACCGCCAAGGTTAGGTTGATGACACTATGTCAGACAATGTCTCTTTTTATGTCTTAAATCCATGTTAGCCAGAAATAGATGGTTGTCTGGGAACAGTTGGAGCAGGCGATTGCCGTTGTCTCTTTGTGAGGCCAGGATTCTACAAGTACTACTGGAGTTCATTTATGTCTGACTTAGCCTACCCAATTAAGTATTGAAAAGATCTGCTACGACAACCACATCAGAATGTTTGGCTTACAGTAAAAGGCTAAATAGTTTTAGAACGAACTCATATTTCATGTTGTATGAACTTTAGTCAGTGGGTGCGAAAGTAGAGAATACAGAGAAACAAAGGCGGGTTTCACCATTACTTGCAGGGTAGTGGCAAACTGGGAGTGTTCCGTCACTTTCAAATGATACCATTTCTCTACTCAACTGCATTCATAGACCGGAAACTCTGTGAAACGCCTGAAAAACTGATCCATAAGTATCAGACCGGGTTTCGTTTATATGTGCACCCATAGTCAAATATACTCGAACATCGTCACGTGTATTGCTGGCGAACGATCATTTCTGGAAAACGGATTTGAGTTCAGTCCGTTGGAAGGGATAGTTATCTGAAATTCTTTTAGAGGAGCGTATCCCTGAGAGGTATTTATTGTTGAAAGCTTTCTATTTCAACACTTCAAGAAAAGTAAGGGCATTCACCTCTCGGTCTATTTGAGGTCAGTCACACCGACTTTCTGAAGATCTTCGGTTTGAAATCATTTGTCCTATCCCCAGACCAGACGAAAACCTCTTACTATTAGCTTCATCAGAACACATGGCAAGAGGCAGTATTCTGATTTTAGAGTCAACCTTTTTAATTCCCTTCTTCTGACAAAGTAAGGCGGCACCAACATGGGGTCCTGGTCATCCACAGGAAACACCTTACCGGCGTCCCGGCTTCACGGTTGGTTTCTTATCACGTAGTTATCTATTTACACTATTACGGTAATAGATATAAATTTTAAAGCTATCCAACAGACCTCTCTGGCATAGCAGGGATTCATCCAATAAATGTTACCACCGCTGTAACTTGTCGAATCGCTGTGTTATGGAAGCTTAATCACCATATCGATGTAGTGGTTGTTGGGTTAGTAATAAGCTCAAGTGGAGCTGTGGCTCATTGATCTTCGCACTCGAATGTCAAGTAGTCGAGGTCAAGGACTCGAAATCCGCCTCATCTTTCGAAAAGCCAGATAGTATCATTAGCCCTTACACAACAAGTGGCGCTCATTGCCTACTGCATGAACGTGGATGTGGTTAATGAGTGAATTTCGATTTCGTTTGATAGGCCGAAACGGCGTTCATCGTTTTAAAAATTTTTTGTAACATATATCAATTATAAGCTTCTCAAACTTTCAGGGTTGGCGACTAAACGATATGCATAAAAATGGGGAACAGAACCAATCACAAACTTTGGCTGTACAACGTGATTATTTAAATGTTTCACATCAATGCCTTTCAGTCTTTCGTTTTGTAAGAGTTTGTATGGAGGGAATTAGACTACTAGGGTAACCTTAGTTTCTGAGTTGGAAACCAAAATGCCACTTTGAAGTTTTGAGTAGTAATCAATGAAGTAGACTAGGTGGATGTCCAACTACTTAACGTCATTTTTGTAAGAAGTCAGTAGTTCTAGGAAGAGTTAGTTGAATGGAACGGTTGACCTACCTTTCTTCTGTTGGTAAGTTTTAGCGTAACACACTACTTAAGAGTAGGATCTAAACCTCGGAGAGAAGAGGTTATGCTAACAGGTTACAGACTTTTGTAAGCGATGATTTTCTGAATTACTTGACTATTTGTTGATAAGTGGTGTGTATCATAGAGCTTCCTTTGAAAGTCAGGGACTGATATTGCTTTAGTTTCATTTTTCAAGAAGATAGTTGATGGTTTAGCTGAGTACGTTACATAAAATAAGAACCAAGTTATCCGAAATTATAGTAGCTTACGCGTAAGCACATTACCTAGAGTTGAATAGATTTTGGTCATACTAATTCATTCATGTTAGATAACTTGGGTAACATACGTGTGCACGACGATTAATATGTGAAGGTCTGTCGTTTGCAAAATGGTTAATGGTTCTGTAGAAACTATTCCAATTTCGAACTTATCTCACATACAAGGTAAGTCAAACATTTTCATTGATTTTGAATTGCTTTTGGAGCGTCATCTGTGATAATCATGAAGATGGTGGTGGTAATCTTGCGACAATGAATTTATATGAATCAATCAGATTAACGCAAGTAGCTTTTACCAACATATATCCATCTATATTTATCGGATAATGACTGAAGTTTGACTGGAAATGCCTTCGTAGTAGCATTTAAAATATCATCTTTTAGCACGATCGATAACTGCTAACTTCACGACGTGATCTAACATGCATATCGCAATGATCCAATGAGCTATACTGCTAGGAACATTTGGTCTATGACGTCACATCATATCAAGAATGTCTGTTGGACAGTGGTTAGACAAAAATCAGTTAGCGTTATAGTACAAACTACTACACTATCGATAGGGGTTTTGAAGGTCTGATATTACTGTAAAACCTCACATAAACACATCAATATACGAGAAAACAAAGCGAAAGGTTAAGAAATAATGAAAAATATGTACTTAAAGCGGTAGAGAATTACACGAAAAGAAGTGGGGGATAGTAAAATAAGTGATTAAATGTGATGTAGTGATTAGGATGAAGACAATATGTATGGATACATTTGCACAACTGAGATCGATTCTGGGTCTCATCACCTACAGTCACAAACTACTAATTTCTGTCATTATTTGAAACCCGGTCGGGAATTACACATGCCCCCAAACAGTTCAGAAAAACAGACAAAGACTGATGTGATATTTTAGTCTGACCACCTTTATCACTTTTTCAGCATAAACCTATTTCGGCTGGCCAGACAACGTAGAGAACCAGATAGTGACCAGCCTGCGTTAGCAAATCGCAGCCATATGAGACAATGGAAGTTCACAACCTCGTTAACTCACTTGACTGTTTTACCGAAAACTGTACACCTACCTGACTTCTGCGTTATTAGCATGGAGTTGAGGATCATTGGTTTGTGAACTTGACTTTCAACCAGTGAGTCGCGGGTTCTAACACCGTTCCAATGACCGAGAGTCGGGCCACCAAGTAGTATCATTAGCCCTAACACGACAGATGTGATCCACTGCCTATTGTACGAATGTGCGCAAGGTTGTTGAGTGAATTGCTTTCGAAAGTGTTGGTTCCATGACACACAATCAGAGCCATGAAGAAGCCAGTGGGCAAAAATGCAGACTTCTCATACCTTATAACTTAGATGGCCATGTTTCACGTATAGCAGAACAGAGTAAACTGCTGGTTAGAGCACTGGACCCTCGATAGGCAACTGGATATTACGCAGGCACCACAAATGGCACAAGTCGACATAAGCCAATCACACCTTCAATAAACACGAATAGATTTCGTCGGCTGCTGACCAATCAGTGTTGACCTCTTTCCCAAGTAAAGGGAGTTGTCAACACTCTCAACCAATTTAATTTACACTGTTAGATGAGGCATCAACGGAGGTGGGTACTGCAGTAGCACTCTGCACTTGCATGGTAGAAAGTGCAACATAAATATGTTTGAATTCTTGAGGTGAAATAAGCATGACGATCTATCGACTTATAGTGTTACACACACACTAATTAAGACGAAAAGGAGATAATATTGTGCAGATAACAGAAAAAGATGAGAAATTGGTGCTTCGTGCAATGAGTATATATATATATGAAGTCAAAACACAGGGTTATACATATTAAGAAAAAAGAGATACCAGTTGATGAATTACTGTCAAAAAATATAGAAACACAGAAATGCACTTACTGACTACACATTCCGTTATGGTCAAAACCATTCAAAAGTTCATGTTGATGT